ATTGCTTTCTGATCTTTGGTCTTGTCATATGAGTTGTACAATTGTCCTCGTATAATTACGGTAGTAGCAATTATTTTTAATGTAATAGATAAAATATATGTATATATTAAATAATGTTTCTTAAAAATTATTATAATGTAAATAAAGTTTTTATTAAAATCCGCGATAACGCTGCGCCACTAAATAAAAAAATTCCATGCTAGTGTTTATTTTTTATTGATTTCTATTAAAAATTAAAAAATAAAAAACACGTGAATGAATTTACCAAAGTTGGAGATGCTTTCAATAAAATATAAAAAAAACAGCCAAAGTTAAAGCCAATGTTATAATGAGGTTACCGATCTGCATTACTTACGTGAATAATATCTTTTTAGCAACCTTAACGGGTGTGGTCATTTGTACCACCAAAACATCTCGACCATGACGTGTATAAATCCCAAACCCATTGCCAACCTCAAAAAAATCAATATTGTTGCAAAATTTAATAGACACCATTCATTTATTACAGTCAATAGAAAATAGAAAGTGTAAAGGTTTTATTGTATCATTACTTTCGTTCATGCATGCGATGACGAAAATTACGCCAAGTTAACTTTCTTTTTTTTTTTTGATTCATACAATTCGATTCTCCAATTCTTTGCTTTCTATATCGGATGGCGAGATTGCTAATCTTGATGCATCGGAATTGAATGTGCTAGACAATTTTATAATTTTATCACCCGGGAACGAAGGCGATCAATATGGCTGAAGTGAGCCTTCTAACAAGTTCCTAGAGGTCTAGTTGAGCTTGACTTAGACTCGTAACCTGGGTTTAAGTGAACTATATACTAGATGGTAGGGTATTGGTTAGGTAGTATTATGCTTTTACGTAACTCTTCACCGCCCAGTGTCTTCTTAATATTAGCGGAAGGATTATCATTCAACTTGTCAGTAGGTCCCGTCGGCTTAGTCAAAAACCTATAATGGTTTGCCAACAGTCTCATTTTCATCAACTTTAAGAATGTCTTCAATAGAATAATCGTCTACAACAAAACAGCTTAAAGAATGGAGGATACGTAAAAAAATGTCTACCATGATTTTGTAATTTATCGCCATAGCACATAAATGAGATTTCAGTTCGGGTAATGTGAGTGTATCTACAGTCAAACAGTCAAAGCTCGTTATAGTGAACTCTCAGTTCCAGTCACAATAAAGAGATTTGATTAAGAGTTCACTTTAACGAGCGAAATTTTATTATAGAAAAATATGAAATTGACGTCCTAATTTATTAATTTTCATACGGGAGAATATAAACAAATAACCACTTTGACATATAAAAATTCAAATGATCAAAATTTTATTAAACATTTTAATTAACAAACATTTGCGTTGGTTCAAAATAAATAAAATAAAAATAAATACATGTTAAAATTTCATAAGTCGCAATATATTGGATAATAATGTAAGTCATTGCGTGAGAAAATTTCCAAATTACTACTTTATATAAAATTCCCAGATAAAATCTATATAAGCATATTGGAAACCAGTTAATAATAAAACACCATTATCAAAAAAAGGAATGTGAAATATGAAATATTATACTAAAGTGTTTATTAATGAAAAAAAGGGAAATATGAAGGTCGAACACTAAATAAATGTAGTAATGTGTAATATGTTTATGATAAATTAAAAACTCTTTCTGTGAATAATGTCGGGATCTTCTTGAAATTCTTCAGCTGAAACCCACATCTATTAAAAATAATATCATCGTAAGTTGTTTACTCGTGAAAAAAAAAGTCGTCGTTGTAAATAGAAACCTTTTTTTTTTTAAAAAAAAAAAAACGCATACCTTTTTAAATGTACTCAAGGCTGCCAATATAGAACCACCAATCCATGTACTATATTTCCTTTCTGGTGGTGCAAAAATCTTAATCTTAATGTCCTTGACTGCCAATTTTCTTATTTCACTCAACAACCTTGTACCGAAATCTTTTATGAAACAAAAGAGATTAATTTCACGTTTAAATATATCAAGAGTAAAAACATTTTTCTCCCACTACAAATAAAAAAGAAAGTTACCTTTATAAAGTGTCGAACCACCGGATAAGACAACATTGGCAAACAAATTTTTCCTTAAATCTAGATCTG